TAGTTTCTGGTCCTCACGCCTTATATATCTTTTTGCTTTCTACCACCACTCCCTGGGATTAAAGGCTGGCTTTCTGGGATTAAAGGCGTGTGTCACCATGCTTGGCTATTTCCAATGTGGCCTTGAACTCACAGAGATCCAGAGGGATTTCTATCTCTGGAATGCTAGGATTAAAGGTGTGAGTGCCACCATTTTCTAGCCTTTGTATCTAGTAGCTGTCTGTTCTCTGACCCCAGATAAATTTATTAGAGTACACAATATTTTGGGGAACACAATACCACCACAAGACTTTGCCTCAATATGAGGTGGAGAGGTGATTGAAAAAAACAACTGATGTGAATGTCTGTTCCCTGCACACTTATACACATGCACTGAACACACACACACACACACACACACACACACACACACACACACACACACATACACACACACATGAATTAAAGCTTTGTAAGTGTTGATTGTCTTAACTAGGCTAGTGAGGCTTTTGGTTAGTTGTAGCACTCATCTCCTTTACTTTCCTGATTAAATCTTTACTTTAATTAACATCAAGTAAAATTTACTTTTCACATAAATGTAAAAAGTGACTGGTATAAAGACAATATGAAACAACAGTGTAGTGTGTATGAAGACATAAAATAATAATAATCTGTGGCCTTGGAAGAATAATGGTAAATAACAATTTTCAGCCTTCATGTAGCTGCTCATCTTTTCAAAATCTGTGTGTGCAATGAAATTCCCTGAAGTCATACATTCTAAGTAAATCTTCAGCCTTCTGTCTCATAATTACAATTATGATTGAGAATGTGTTGTGCTGTGGAAAGGAAAGCAGTTAGGGAAGCAAGGCCTCCATTCTCTTTGAATATCACTGCATATTTATCAATCCCATTTCTGCCACCCACTATCAAACCTCCAGTAAGTCACAGCATGTTATTATCTCCTTCTCCCCTCAGACACCCCTTGCACAGGCATCTTTGAGCAATATATTGATGAATGAAAGGATTGGAACTGGGTGGTTAACTTTATTTCATTCTCTTGAATTTTCTGGGATTCTCTTATGGTGGAGATGGTGAATTTGGTAACAAAGATAAATGATTTCGATACCAATAAAGATAAAGCATTTTACATCCCTATCCCCACTGCCTTTCAACTTGAACAGTTCCAGTACTGGTACATTTTTAAAGTTTTATTAGAAGAAATTTCCCTTGGAAGAAACATGTAAGCCTTTGGATTAGGTCTTTGCAAAAATTATAACCTACTTCTAGAAAAGAGTTACATTTCTTTGATTACATTTTCTTTTCAAACTGCTTTTAACTTTCAAATTCAACAAAATATGTGTATATTTGAATAACTAATGTGATGTCAGATAGATAGATAGATAGATAGATACATGATAGATGATAGATAGGTAGATAGATAGAATGTATTATATATATAAATTTTACTTTTTGTCATTACAGAAGAAAACACTATACATTATCATAAAACTTATTTCTTATCTGAGCATCACAGTTTAATCCTGGAAAATCATTGCAGAATGGCCTATTTAAATAAATGTTCTAGCAAAAATCAGACATAGAGTTGTTTGCTGGATACCAAAAGGTTATGTGGCTTTTTATTTCCTATTTTTCACATAGGACAAAAAACTTTCATTGAAAAGTTTCACCATCAGTAGGTCTGAGAAAATTGAAACAGATTTAAATTTATTTTTCAGAGGTTTGTTAAAAAAAATAAAATGTAGCTCGGCATATCTGCAGAACAAATCTATTTAAACTCAATAGGGCACTTATCTCTTTCTTTCCCTTAGGCAATACTGCCTGTCAGATACTGAATAGAATAGCATATAGCAATTACAGTCATATTAAAATGACAAAATTTAGCTTCTAAAAGGGTTAGAGGACTATGAAATGAGAGAGAAGAGGATTAGAAAACACAGATGTGCAAGAAGCAAAGACATTAACAATTCATCCCCAAGCACAGGAGAATTTGAAGGTGCATTAAAGGGGCTGGAATGAGGCTTCACCATCATTTATATCAGGTATACAGGGGATGCCAAGCTTTTGATCTCAATTTAACCTAGGCATGAACAATAGTACTTTTCAAATTCTATATCTGAAATACAATTATTTAATAAAACCATAAAATACTTTATTTTCAAATAGATTCAGCAATATAGATGTCACAGTTGAAATATGTATGTCCCTCTCACACATATGAGTTGACTTTTAAACTATAAGTGGCTACTACCATGAGAGTGAACCTTTGGGGGTCACTAGATGGTGATGTTGGAACTCTGAGTAAAAGAGTTTATTCCCTTATAAAAACAACCCAAGAAGCTAATTCATTCTCTCCTTCTCAGTGTGAGTTCGTTTACAGCGAAAAGATGGTCGTGGAGGAAATGGAGCCTCTATGAAAATGAAACTCAGTTGCGCTCCAATTTCAGATATGTAGGCTCAAGAACTCTGGAGACAAGATCTCTTTTGTTGTAAGCCATCTGATTTGTTACTGCAGTCAGAGGGGACTGAGGCCCAGGAGAATGAGAATGCAGTACACAGAATCTGAGTGTACCCATCTCTATTCAGAGGTGCTTTATCCCCCGTGGAGTTTCTGAACTGCAGGCAGTGTGTGGAGGAGTTAGACTGTTAGAAGGGTGGGGACTAATGGAAAGCACACTGGAGCCTCCGGTTTCAGAAATGGTTAATGCAGAGTAACCCTCAGAACTCCACTTAGTTCTTGGAGAGTGTTAACAACAGCAGGGCTTGGCTCTGTCTTCCTGTGGCTATCTGACTTAGGATGAGGTCAGTCCTTCTCAGGGACACACCTACCCTCTGTGATCCAACTACATTGATGTCTTCAGCAAGCATAGTGATGACAGCATCATGTCCTTGAACCTCCAGAATATTGAGCTCTGGCTTACTTTCTCTACTTAACAAAGCTACCCAGCCTCACTCATGTCGTTAAGACAATGAACAATTCAAAAATATAAATGTTTGGTATTGAGAAGGGGCCATCGCTATAAGTTTATCTAAAAACTTGTGCGTAGTTTTGGAACTGTATCACAGAGAGAAGTAGGAAGAGCTGGGAAGAAGTAGGCTAGACAAACTCATGATGCTGTCAGCAGAGTACATTGAGTGATTCTGAGCATGACTCAAGATTAGGAGGGAAAGAAACAAGACAACTTCTACAAGAGAGTCTATTTCAAAAAAGAAGCAAGAGTAGAAGCAAGAAGAAGGCAATGAAAAAGAATACAATGAAGGGGAGGTGGGGATGTATCTTGAAGGATTTGGGTGATGAATATGGTCATGACACATTATATGAAATTCCTTAAGAATTAATAAAAAAATATTTTAATTGTTTGCTGCCTCTTGCTTGTGTCCTGGAGTTGGATGAGAGCTGAACTTAAGAACAAGAGTAGCAGAAGAATTTCTCAATGTACAGAAGGAACTGTGTGTGCACTTTTGGCCACTTTTAGCCTTGCTTGAAAGCAAAATAGAGATTTGGAAAATTCAAAAAAGAAATCACTGGATGAGCAATAACATGTAAAAGTATGATGAATATATCACTGTCTAAACAGATCTGCTAAGCAAATTAGTGGATTTATGTGCCATCTGAAAAGACAGTAGGAAAGAACCATGGCAGTATCACAGAAAATATTGAATAAGCCACCTCTCTATCAAAGGTTCTGGAGCCTTCCCGGATAGGACCATTTTTCAAAAAGGCCCTGAAGCATCCTCAGTGAACTCCCACCACAAAACCACCTCAAGATTCTACTCCCTGTTTTCTGGTGGACCATTCTGACTGTGACATTATTTAATTTTTCCCAAGCATTGTTCCTACAGATGGCAGACTTTGGTAGACCCCATATGAAGTTGGCTTTTCAGATACATATACTATTGGAAGAAGGATTCTGGTGGCTTCCACAAAGATTGAAAAAAAAAATGACTTTCAGGCCATGCTGGGGACTGTTCTAGCTGGAGAGAGTCCTTGGTGGGAAGAAGCATAATAGAAATATGAGAGTGGAGCAGTAGTTAGGACCCTATAAATATGGAATTGCAAGAAGTATTGCCTGGAGGATAAAGCTACATGAAACATGTAGCACCTTTCCAAAATAATAAGTGGCCTGTAGCACAGAGTGACAACCTGAAGCCATGGGATGCCACAAGTTGTTACAGGCCATAATGTAAATATAGCAGATGGTAGTTGATAACTCAGATGTCAACCCACCAGGTGAATAGTTCTTTGACAGAGGAACCCTGTAAAGCAAGGCTTGCAGACCACAGACTCTGAACACTGTTGCTTCTGTCTGTAAATTCACATGTGGAAAACAGCTGTTGAATCTCCCTATTACTGTGCATTTTCATGTAATCTATGCATGTAATCTCATGATTACATCTCAATCTTATGGGCACATACATCTGTGAATGGTCAGGAAGAAGACTTCTCATTAAGCTGTATAGTTTTGATATGTAGAAAATATACTAGAATGTGCTTCATAATTATATCTATTATTCCATGAAGACTGTAAGACACTTAGGTCCTTTTTAAAAACAATCACTAGCTCAGACTAGCATAAAGCAAACCAAAAATTTCTTCTCAGTTCTAAGACAAGCTACATACAATTAATTCAAAACCTCAAGAGCAAACTCAAACTAGACTGTACATCTCTGTAAATGGATCATAAGTTAAAACTTTACAGGTATGCAGAAGGACAGAGTTGCAGGTGTCTAAACATGATTATTAAGCATAAAGCAACCTAAAATACTCTGCCAGTTTCTCTAGCCAGCCCTGGCTGATAACAGAGACCAGTGGCCACTCCCTACTAAGTACCTTGGCAATTAACACTCTGCACAAACTTACAACCTTAGTTTATGGTACAAAATTAAAGGCTCAGCAAAGTAATTGTTCATGTGTAAATCCTCAAACTTATATAGATATCAGAAAAATGACTATTAACCAATAAACCAAGTCCAGAGAAAAAGAACTTTATGTGGGAAAGGTTTCACAGACAGTAAGGGCTGTAGAAGATGATCTTGCCTTTCAGCCAAAGTTACAAGTTTCCCTCCTTATGACTGGAATTATAAACAGGATAAGAGAATATATTTTAGGTTTAGAACACTTTCAATGGCACTGCCCAGAAAAGTGCCTGGCACTGTGTCCCTGCCCATGTATTGACATGGTAAATGACTCTGTTCCTTATCCTTTACTCAAGGAATGTACTGTGACCTTTATATGTAGCTTTTGTAACATTTTTATTGCCTCAAGCCTTCTATAAAAGGTTCATATAGCTGTGTAGAAAAAAAAATTGTAGAATTAGCGCAGAAGAGAATTAGAGCTAAAAAGGAGCTACTAGAATTAGAGCTGAAGAGAATAAAGTGAAAAACCCTCAGTTCATGTCTGACTCTGATTTCCTCAGATAGAAACTTACTCCTAAAGGCCCTCAGACAAAAAAGTTTCTTAAAGTCTTACTACTCTGAAAAGCATTTTTTTCTGCAACCCTGGATGTAGCCCTAAGAGCTAGTCTCATAGACTGTGGTAATGGGACCTTAATCATTTCCTGAAGCCAGATTTTGATCATTAAGATTTTATGTTTATGCCCTGAATGTTGATCATGAAATGATGGGTTATTTCTTTTGATTTATCGATACTACCCCTTTCTCTCTTTTGTAACACTAACATTGTCTCATGCCTGATACACTATTATGTTTTGGAAGCATGTAACTTCTTATTTTTATTTTGCTTTCTTGTTTGTTGTTTATTTGTTTGTTTTGCTTTTCAATGCTAGGGGTCAACCGTGGACTTCACAGGTGATAGAAAGAAATCTGACATAAGCCAAAGCCCCAGTACCATAACTGCTTTTATGAGGGTACAAGGATTTAGATGATTCTTAGAGAATTATGAGATCCTTCTCAAGGGATGGTGATTATATAAGAACTCACGCTGTTCCTCCACTCACCCTGTTCTAATATCTACCAGAGTGAACCAGCAATCCTGTACTTTCTCCCACCATGGTGCTAACAAGGACCAAGTTGACATGGGTATCATGTCCCAGCACAATGAACTAAATAAACTCATTTTTAAATAAATTTACAGAGCCTTAAATATTTTATTGTAATGAAAAAATACTCTGCCCTCATGTGGCCTTTGTTGTTAAACTTTTATTACTATTTAAGTTTCTTGCAACTAATGATTAAATATCGATTGTGAACATTAATCTCAATTATCAACTTATTGGAAATTAACATTACCATGAAAACACACCGTTTTGTACATTTATAAAGCCACTTCCAGAAAAATTTAACTAAGAATGAAAGACTCAGATGACATATGGGTGGCACCATCTCATGACCTGGGAGCCCAGACTAAGACAAAAGAAAAACAAACAAACAAACAAAACACTGAGTACCAGCAAGGCACAATGAAACCTGATACCACAGTCTCTTGCTGTCATGACTCCTTACCATAATATGCTCTCCCCTCAGTCTGTGAACCAAGTAAACTCTTCCTTTCTCATTTATTTTTCCAGTATTTGATCACACCAGTGAGGAAGGTAACTACTGAAATAATGCATCCCTATTAATTACAGTAATTTCCTCAGAAAGTATTTTTCTGCTTTATACTCCTCTATGATATTCACTGTCATGCCCAGGCCCTTTAAGTCTTCTTTGCTGGGCGTTGGTGGTGCACTCCTTTAATCCCAGCACTCGGGAGGCAGAGCCAGGCAGGTTGCTGTGAGTTCAAGGCCAGCCTGGTCTACAGAGAGAGTTCCAGGAAAAGCTCCAAAGCTACACAGAGAAACCCTGTCTCGAAAAACAACAACAATAACAGCAAAAATGTCTTCTTCTTTATGTCATTTTCTCAGACTTAATTCTTATGTAATTTTGCATGTTGACTTCTATTGGGAGTTTACTTCATTAGAATGGAATTGTAGTTTATTTGGTAGAATTCTGGAGCTATAAAATATGATTTTTTTATATTATATGAAAGTCTGTAGTATCAACTTGATGATTTACTGTTCATAATCACCAAAATACAGGAACATTTCTCAGGTTCCTTGAAAGTAATCACTCATTCATCTCAGAATTTATACAATACACTTTAGAAAGAAGTTGGTATCCTCAGCTCTGAATCAAAGAGTAAGAGTAGCTAAAAAATAGAGGAGGGTGCTTAAACCAAGCTTAATCCCAGCACTTGGGAGGCAGTGGCAAGTGGATCTCTCTGAGTTTATGGCCAGCCTGGTCTACAAACTGAGTTCCAGGACAGCCAGAACTGTTACACAGAGAAACTCTGTCTCGAAAAACATATAAAAATAAATAAATAAGAGTAAGCACGTATGACTGGCCTCTTTCAGTGTAGAATGGATATGTGCATGTGTGTCTGTGTATATGTGTGAGTCTGTGTGTGTACATGTATGTATGTTTGTGTGTAAACACATAGATACATTCCAAATGAATGCATATGTATATAATTCTACAAAATAAGTTTGCCTCATTCATATCTACTTCCATCAGTGAGAATTAATAGATTCTTGTTTAATTCTTTGCATTCATACTATAATTAATGGCTAAACTTTATTTCAATTTTGGACTGTGGCAGACCCATTTGGTTTGTATCTTCCTTTGAAATAATCTCTTTAGTTCTGTTTTCTTGTTGTTTTTTAAATTTTCTTTTTAATGAACATCTCCTTACTTTCTAATACTCTGAGAGACTCCATTCTCTTCTGTAGTTCTCAACCAAGTCTAAGCAGCATACATTTTTCCAAGAGCTCTAGTTTCTTTTATTACACAGTATTACTAGACACAAGGATTTACACCTTTGTTTTCTTCACTTTTAGAGTTTTGGTGTTTTCATTCTAGAAACAACTTCTGATCCATGCAGAAGGGCACATAAGGACATAAGCCAATGTATTCTAACTTGTGTATTTACAAGTATAGATATTTGACATCTGAACATTGCACTGTTATTTTTCTGAGCCATACTGTATCCCACTCTATTGTGTCACTACATCAATTATGACCCCCTTTTCTTCCTTATTGGTGGCCTAGCACTAGCAACATTATATGAGA